CTGTAGGTAAAGTCCTTCGCGTGTTGCTGTGCAGACAGCGATAAATTCAGCTTCAGCAAAGGAGAGAGCAATCAGCTCCTGCTTCGTCAAATTCCAAGAAATAGGTCCGACAGGTTCAAGGCGGTAGATGAATCCAGTACGTGATCGTCGATTAGTAGAGTCAGCAGCGTGATCGGCGTCGACGAAACCGTATAGGTATAGTGTTTTATAGTCGACGACATTGTAGACCAAACCGACGTCAGGTGTCGATATAAAGTACTAAAGCGCGCTGAGAAGATCGAGTTGATGCTCCTCTTCAGGACGGCGTAGGAACTGAGCGAGTTGACTAGCCGCATAGGCTAGATCGGGACGGCAAGTAACGGCGGCGAAGAGTAAACAGCCTAACTGCTGTTGATAAGTCTGTAGATCGGTTAGACTCAACGGTATAGTATTTGGTTTGTAGTCTATCGGTAGTGATCGGTACGGTGTAGTGACTGCAGCAGGAATACAGTGGCGGAATAAATTGCCCGGATGTTTAACACTTTGAAACATATCGCTATGCCACACATGTTTCGAAAATAGTAACACCCGTTTTTGCCATTCCGTTACAAGGTTTCCGAGTTCTGCTTCAACCATTTCCTGCTTGGCGCGATTGTGACACAACCTGAAAGTGGGGTTGAAATTTACTCCTCGACTATCGATGCGGACATTTCCAACCGAGCAGAAGAGTAGATCTATTTTCCCCCGTCACTCAGTGTGTACATCGTCACGCGCAACAGTTGCTGGCTTAGGAGTTAGTTTGGAAGCGAGCCTACGACCGCATCGCCATGAAGCCGTTAACTGAGCGGAAGCGTGCGCGAATCATAAGCATGTTGCGTGCGGGGCATTCGACTAGGAAAATAGGCAAAGTTCTTGGAATAGGCAAGAGCACCGTGCACGATTACAGTTTGAAAGTGGCTGCCGAGACTAGTCTCGAGGAGGTGCGACCTACGATGCCTTCGGCCGCCGCCCCCCTTAATCACTACCCGTCTCCAGCGCGGAATAATACGCCGCGACTACAAGCGGCGAGGCGAAAGGCTCTGTTGAAGCGGCAAATAGTGGTTGGAGAAGCACGGTTCGCCGTAGACTCGAAGAACGGTCCGGAACTCATTACGATCGCGGGGCTGATCGCCGTGCATCAGCCCAAGAAACCCAGGCTTCTCACCGGAAAAACATCCGAGATCGTCTTGACTTCGCGCGGTCGCATGCCGACTGGGACGCTGGAGGACTGGAAGCGGGTGATTTGGTCTGACAAGACAAAGATAAACCGCTACTGCTCCGACGGACGTGCGTACGCCTGGATTCGCGGAGGGCACCAGCCTTCGGAGCCATCAAGTCCAACAGACAGTTAAGCATGGGGGCGGTTCTGTGATGGTGTGGGGTTGCATGACGTATGAGGGGGGCGGGGTTCATGTGCAGATAGATGCAGGATGGATGGGCCGCTGTATCGCAGCATCTTGCAAGATGAGCTCAAACAGACCATCGATTTTTTCAGGCTTTCCCCCTCAGAGGTCATTTTCCAGCACGACAATGATCCCAAGCATAGGTCTCGTCTGGTCCAAGACTGGCTTGGGAGTAGGAGTACGCGGTGCTGGAATGGCCGTCGTGCTCCCCGGACCTTAACCCGATTGAGCACCTGTGGCACACGTGAAAAGGCAGCTGGGGAAGTACGAAAAGCCGCCAAGGGGAATGCTGGAGCTGTGGGAGAGGGTGCAGGAGGAAAGGGACAAGATACCGGCGGAGGTGTGTGCAAACCTGATCGACAGCCTGCCGAGGAGGATCAAGGCAGTGATTCGGGCAAAGGGACGCTGGACTAGGTACTAGTTTCCGTAGAATCTAGTATGCTACCTGAATTCGGTACAAATTGTCCGGATGTTATCCTATGCTATGCTTAGGTGTTTAAGGACCATGTGTGGTACTACTTTGGTGTTTGGCAACTCGAGTGGGTGCTCTAACTGATCTTCTCAGCGTGTATGCACACCATACATTAAGGCTTAATGTTTACGCCGCTGCACTCATCAAATGCCAAAAAAGGCTGAACATGTGGACAATTAATCCGCCACTGTAAGATGAAGCGGGCAGCGAGTATCGCTGCGTACTTCAACGCGGTGAGGTGAATATATGTCGGTGAACAGGTAATGTTTAAACCGAGAAACTGTGAAACTGTTCCGGAGACGGTAAGTTGTAGATTTTTCTGTAGTTTCAGTATGAAGGTATCGGCGAGCGAATCGGTAGTACTGACGTAGAGAATGTCGTCGACGTAGGCGACGAGTAAAATATAGTTGCTGCCGTCGGTTAGAAGATTCATCGCCTGATCATCTGGCAGTTGTCAAAATCCAGTAGTGATAAGCTGTGAGTGAAGATACTGCTGCCAGAGCCGGGGTGCCTGTTTGATTCCGTAAAGCAACTTTCTGAGACGGCATACGCTCGGTGGGTTAGTAGTATACGAATGTGGGTACTCTACCAGAATGAGTGCATCGACGGTGCGTAGAGAAATGCGTTGCCATGCCGATTTGTCGAAGTCGTAGATTGCGGCAGGCGGCGACACCAGAGCAGAATTCGAACGCTCGTAAATGTCGACCGACGGGAGCAAAGTCAGCTCCTAGTCGATGCCGCAAGTCTGCTCGAACCCACGGACGACCCATCGCGCCTTAAATTTCTCAAATGACCCATCTGCATTAGTCTTGACACGGAAGACCCATTTTCCAGTTAGTGCCTTTCTTCCTTTCACTTCTGATGTCGGATTAACTCCCATGTGCCACGAATCTTGAGAGCTGCTAGCTCCCTGTCCATGGCTTCGCGTCATTTTTCGCGGTGAGGGCTCGTAAGAGCTTGGCAAAAGGTTTTCGGTTCAGGTATTTTACTATCGTTGTACTGTACTGCGACTGCGAATCCAAGAATCTGTAAGCCGGTTTCTGTAAAACGCGGACGTTCTTTGTTTGCACCTACGAAATTTTCTTATGGCCCTTCTTCCCCCCCAATTTCGTCAGGTGTAACACGAACTGCTTCGTCGAAGATGGCTGGCATCGGCTGCTGTTGGCGATCGCGTTCGTAACTGAGATGGACTTCGCAAACGTCATCCGGGTCGGCATCTGCGAGAGGAAAAAACTCCGGGATACCAATCAACGTGATAGGTTCGGGGATGTCTGTTGCGGCAGCTTCAGAGGCTTCGGAAACTGCTTCATCCTGTACATCAGCTTCGGCTTCGTCAGTTGCAAATGCACGCGAGCCTTCGAACAGCCTGGCGGGGTTAGCAGCTGCTGCCTGGTGGGCACGAAAAACTGGAAAGGTGAGTCTTTCATAGAAGAGACAATCACGTGAAGGAACGATTTGGTTGGAACGAAGTTCCAAAATCTTCCATGCGTGATACTTTTTTTCGATGCCGAGGTGTACCCCCCATTTTGCTCGTTCTGAAAATTTGCCGAGTGCTGTAGTTGGAGGACGAAACTGCACAACACACCCAAAAACTCATAAAAGTTTGGTACTTCCAACTGTTCGTGTCCACTGCAGGTGCAGAGAAGAAATTCGGGCAGTGACGTGGAAGAAAGCAGGTTGTATAACAGCACTGTGTGGTCCATCTCATACGGCCAAAAGCGAGGAGGAAGGGCTGCCTGCGTCAGCAGAGCACGCATCTTCTCCTGCAGAGTTTCAATTCATCCTTTCCGCTACCCCCCATTTGTTGTGTGCATGTGGCAGGGACTGCTTCCGTTTGATGCCGCGGGTTTGGAGGTAGACTGAGAAGGTGTTGCTTGTGTATTCCCCTACGCCATCACTCTGGAATTCTTGCAGTTTCATACCAGACTCTCGTTCAGCGACAGCGAGCCATGCGACGAAGACGGAATGAGCGAGATAACGAGCAGGAAGTTTGCTGTCCAAACATAGCGAGTAGATGCTTCGATGAAGGTTATCATGTACCGCTCTTCTTTAGGTCCTGCTTCAGGTAAGTTAAGAATATCACTGCAGACTTTCTGCATCAGTTTATAACATGTGGAGCCAGGAAAATTACTTGGAAACGGGTCGTGGGTAAAGTTGGTGACCGGATACGTGGTGCAAACCGTCGGGCGAGACTGCGGCTTCATCTCCGTGCCGTCAGGTAAAAGAAGACGTTTTTATCAAGAACTGCTGCTCGGATTGAATGATTTAAGATCCCTTGTGACGAATGACCTAACCGCTGATGCCAAATGTCTTCTGTGGCTTTGTGTGCTGATGATCGCAGATAGAAATCGGCGTTAGTATAAAACGAAGAAATGATAGAAGGAAAAAGAGTTGGAGATATGTCAATCTCTCCTTCGACGAAACGGGTAAGTGTTAACTGGACATTTGTTGGTTCTGCTGTAGTTGTAATTGCAACATCTGATACTGCTTCGGTTGATGTGGTGGCAGGCGGTCCTGCGACAGCTATTAAGGGACTCATCTGCTCGGCTACGACTTCTTCGACGTCAGGTTCATCAACTGCAAGTCCACTGATTTCGCCCCAAAGTGGAGCTGGAGTTCCTTGGAAGGCCGCGCGGGTATTATAAAACGTTCGCCACGCGTTGGCGCCTTCATCGGCAGTATTAAACTCCAAGTGTCACCGGATCGAATGTGTCGAGGAAAGGTTGCACTATCGATCAGTACAAGGTGCTTTTATACTTTCAAAGTACAACATGTAACCAGGTTTATCTTATCCCAAGGAATGGGCCCTTCTAGAATATAGAATCACACTGCGTATAGCCACGCGAGGCTACTGGCTTTAAGGATTACGGCAGGATTACGCTAGATAGAGCGCACCAGTACATCCCGAGCCTGGTCAGTGATATAATGAAAATAACAGGATAACCCAAAGGATAATGGAAAAGGAGAAATAGGAAACCAAATGAGATGAGATAAAAAGAGAAATGAAATAGGAAGGAAATAAGAAAAGGCCAAGTGGTGTAACGGGGTCGTACTCTCACACTTCCCCCCCTCAAAAGCTGGATGGTAGAAGTAACACCCTGCTTGACAAGGTAGTCATGCAGAGGACGACGGGTGTTACCCATGTCGGACTCAGGTACCCAGCTGTCCCCAGAAGGATCATAACCCTTCCAACGGATGAGAAGCTCCACAGTGCCATTCCGTCGACGGCGGTGAGCAAGCACGGACTCGACCTCGTACTTGGGTTCATTCTGGACGAGGACGGGCGGCGGCGGCGGCGGTTGGCGTCCGACGAAGATCGTGTTTGGATCCTGATAGGGCTTCAGAAGGTGGACATGGAGGCGTCTCCAGGTAGCTGGCAAGTGTAAGCGGAAGGTAACAGGAGTGACCTGTGCTTCAACGAGAAAAGGCCCGCAGAAGCGAGGTCGAAGTTTAGATGGGAGGCGGCTGATGTCCAGGTTGCGGGTGTCAATAAGCACCTGGTCTCCCACCGTGATGGTGTGGTCGTTGCGATGGCGATCGGACTGGCGCTTTTGTTGCTGCTGAATGTTGAGGAGGCGCTTGTGGTCCGATCCCAAAGCTGATGCATGGTTGTTATGAAATCATGTGCAGGTTGGACTGTAGCGGATGTTGTCGGTTTCTGTGGTGTGATTGGGTGGCGTCTATAGCAGAGGAAGAACGGCGTCTGTCCAGTAGCGGCATGTGTAGTGTTGTTGTAAGCAAACTCTAGAACGGGCAGGTGCAAGTCCCATTTGGAGATCTCGTCCTTGCAGGCTGCTCGGAGTAGTTGCTCGACAATCTGGTTGAGGCGCTAGGTCTGTCCGTCTGTCTTTGGATGGTAGGCGGATGACATGGCGAGTTTGGTCCCGAGCAAAGACACTAGTTCCTTCTAGAACTTGCTGGTGAACTTGGGGTCTCGGTCGGAGATGAGTGTGGTTGGAATGCCATGCTGTGAGATGATGTAACGAACGAAGAGTTGTGCTGTCTCCTCGGTGCGTGCCGTCGTGTGTGTCGGGATGAAGTGTCCCATTTTGGGAGAATTTGTCGATGAAGATGAGGATTGCGTCATGACCGCTGGTGGTAGTCGGTAACCCGGTGATGAAGTCCAGGCTAACCACTTGCCATGGTTGTATGGGACAGGAAGAGGCTGTAGCAGTCCCGCTTTCTTCTGTTGTTGCTCTTCATCCTTTGACATGTATCACACGAGGTGACGAATTTCTGGACATCTTCTGCTAAGTGGGGCCAGTAGTAGTGCTTCGCAATACCGGTCAGCGTCTTGTTGCTACCGAAGTGTCCGGCGTAGAGGACGCCGTGGTATTCTTCGAGTAGTAACTGGCGCAAAGGCGGGTAATTTGGTACCCAGATTTTCGTTGATACAATCCGGTACGCAATGTTGATGTCCCGCTGAAGTAGGTGTCGCTTTTCTGCCAAGGGAATTTCAGGGTCGATGGCATACCCGTGTGTGAAGAGTCCCTTGAGGAGTGGATTCATCCCTTTGATCTGAATAGCGGCAACGTGTGCAGGCCGGCTGAGGGCGTCTGCTTTGTTTTTGTGGTCGGGCTTGTACACGATGTCGTAGTGGAAGTGTGTCTCGAGAAATTCGATCCACCGGACCTGCCGCCTGGAAAGGTTGGGTTGTGTCTTCAAATATTTCAGGCTGCAGTGGTTGGTGTAGACGGTCGTTCTTCGTTCTTCAAGATAACATCTCCACGCTTTGAAAGCGATGACAATGGCAAGGGCCTCTTTGTCGTGTATCGGATAGTTTAGTTCTGCCCCGTGTAGTTTCTTGCTAAGGTAGGCGATTGGTTGCAGTCCATTTCCTTGGTCTTGCATCAAGACTGCTCCCACTGCCTGGTCACTGGCATCAGCTTCGATGACGGAGTCGCGTTCGGGATCTGGCAAGATGAGTACTGGTGCGGACGTAAGTGCTTGCTTCAGCTGCTCCATGGCTTCCTGGTGTTTCGGTTCCCATTTGTAGGGCGTGTTCTTTTTCAGCAGATCCGTGAGTGGGTGCTGCGAGTTTCGCATACTGTGGCACGAACCTGTTGTAGTAATTAGCGAAGCCTAGGAACTACTGTAACTCCTTCATGTTCTCGGATGTCTTCCATGTACGTACGGCTTCGATTTTCTTGGGGTTGACGTGAACTCCTTGAGCGCTCACCATGTGTCCTAGGAACTGGACCTTCTCAAGGGCGAATTCGCTCTTGGACAGTTTGATGTAGAATCGTTCTCGTCGAAGAATTTCGAAGACGCGTCGCAGGTGTTCGACGTGCTGCTTCATGTCGCGCGAGTAGATGAGGATGTCGTCCACGTACACCACCACGGACTCGTTCAAAGGTGGTCGTAGAATGTGGTTCATTTCGGCTTGGAATGTTGCCGGTGCGTTGGTGAGTACGAATGGCATTACCAAATACTCGTACGATCCATACCGAGTTCGGAAAGCAGTTTTGTGGATAGAGTTGTCCGCCATCCGTATCTGCCAGTATCCGGACCGCAGATCCAATTTGGAAAATACCGTAGCTTCCCCGAAGCTGGTCAAGCAGGTCATCGATTCGTGGTATCGGATATTTATTCTTGATGGTCTGCTTGTTAAGAGCTCGGTAGTCGATGCACATGCGCAGGCTTCCGTCCAGTTTCGGTGTGAAGAGCACTGGGGCACTGTATGGCGAAGTAGATGGTCGGATGAGTCCTTTGGCTAGGAGATACTCGATCTGTTTTTTCATGTCGGTCAGCTCCGTAGGGCTGAGCTGATATGGTGCTCGGAAGGTCGGCTTCGAACCCGGTTCCTCCACGATCCCGTGTTGATGTGTTTGATATGGCGGTAGCTCGTTCGGAAGATCGTCAGGAAGAATGTCTTGGAATTCCTTCAATAATTCCTTGATCTTTCCCGGAGGTTCCGAGGTCTTCTCTCCGTCGGTTTCCACCTCTGTTGCTATCGCCAGGAATCCGGTGTCGGTTCGCTTCACGTCCTTCTTGGATCGTGCGAGTGTCTCAACTGGGATATCTCCTGTATCGTCCCACTTGGGTAGCTGTACTCTCCGTCCATTGTTGTAGATACTTGCAGTGTGATTCACCCAGTTGACCTCGGGGTTGAATCTTTTTAGGAAGTCTCGCCTGAAGATCAAGTCAAGCCCTTTGATGTTGGTGATGGGAAGTGCAGGTCTCCAGCGCAGTGCTCCAATTTGTAGGTGTAACACTGCTTTGCCGTGTACTTGTAACTTGCTGCCGTCCACCATCGTTGCAAAAAATCCTGAAGGCTTGTACTCTTCCCGAAGTCGGTCGATTACTGCCTTGTTGCAGACGGTGTGCGATGCTCCGCTGTCCACGAGTGCTTGGAGGCGTCGTCCTTTGCAGATGACCTCGAGCACGAGGGGCGTTGCTCGGAGTACCCAAAGATAGTTTCATTGATTGGGTTATAGGGTACATCCCAATATTCCGTACACACCTTTTCATTGCTATCTACTCCTAGGCTGGCAGCTGGCCGAGGCTGCTTAGAGAACAGCTCTTCTCTAGGGCCCAGAGTTTCCTTGACGACTGTGCGCATTGTTGATGCCGAAGTTGCTGAACTGGATGCATCCGGAGGAGGAGTTCGGGGTTTTTGCAGCTTTTTGTATACCCCCAGCTTCCTCTTGAGCTGCTTCAGCTCCACCGACGTCTTCCCTGGGAAACGGGTAGTCGTTGTGGGCTGGTGTCGGGAGAGGACGTTGACTCCGTGGAAAGGTCGGCTTCTTTCCACACTCCTTAATTTTTCCCCAAGTTGTCCGGTACCGATATACAGCGACGGAAAGTATTGCCCGGATAATTGCCTTAAAACATTCTCGTACTGGTTTGGTGCCTTCTTTGTTTAGTTACGAATCAAATTTCGGGGTTGGATGTAAAGTAGTACTGTACTGTATGTGACGGATGCTGGTTTCAGTTTTATAGGGGTCGATTTTTTACCGAGGACGAGATTTCGTCAGCGTGGGTGCATCCGGACAGTTTAGGCCAAGCAGCGTAGTAGATCTATTTCCTAACCTCTCTATTTCGTCTTACTTGCCCTCGCGACTATCGAGTAGTCAGGAGATAGGCTAGGACCGCTGCGATGATTAGGCCGTCATGAAACCGTTAGATGAGGCGCTCTACGCATAGATCATTCCCTTGTTGCGGAGGGGGTAGAGCAATCGTTGAATCGCTAAACAGCTAGCCATAGGGAAGAGTTCGGCCAATCAAGGCGATTGTAGAGTCTAGCCGCGATGACGTGCGTCCTACGATGCCCTCAGCCGGTCGCCCTCGCTTAGTGACAGAGAGAGTTCGCCGCGGCATAGTTCGGTTGATTACCCTCGAGGAGGCAGAAATCTCCGCTCACGTGGCGAAAATCGTTGAGAAGCAACACGGCATCACGTTGCATCCTAAGACATTGCGTAACGCTTTGAATGGGAGCCGACTTGTCGCAATCAAGCATCCCAAGAAACCGCGACACTCTCGGAAAAACATACGCGATAGGCTGGAATGGGCGCGTGCCCACGCAGACTGGACGGTTGACGACTAGAAGCGAGTTATCTGTGCGAATGAGACCATGATCGGTCGTCTTGCATCCGACTGACTCTCATACGCCTACGTTCACGAAGGGACTGCCCTCCAAAGACACCAAATCAAGCAGACTGTCAAACACAGGGGCGGTTGCTTGATAATTTACGACTGCATGTCGTAAAAGGGAGCGGTTTCATGAGCAAAACATAAGGTAGGGTGGACGGACTGCTCTCGCTGAGTATACTGCAGGACAATCTCAATCGTTCAGGAGTGGCTTTGAGAGTAAGATTCAGGGGTGCTAGAGTGGCCGTCTTCCTCACCCGACCTCAACCCAATGGAGCATTTATGGGCTCATCTCAAGAGGCAGTTGGCCAAGCCTTATAAGCCTCCCACTGGTATGCTGGACCTTTGGGAGCGGGTGCAGGAGAAATGGGAGAAGATCCCGGCGGATGTGTGCACCCACCTAGTGGAAAGCATGCCCAGGAGGGTGAGGGCGGTGTCTAAGGCGAAAGGGCGGTGGATTAGGTACTAGTTTGGGGTTGATGTAACTTGCTGCTTGCGCCTGGCAATAATTGTCCACATGTACCAAGATTGTTATTTTCTAGTATTTGTTGTAAACATCATTATACTTGTGTGATGTAAGGCATGGGCGTGGAGCCTTACCCCAACCTACATACACTAGGCACACCAGAAGATTAAGTCTTAATGTCCATGACCCCCTGAAATGGCAAAATTCCTCTAAGTCACAAACATGTGGACAATACTTTCCGTCGCTGTAATCTCTACAGCTTTCTGCTTCTTTTGGAGTCCTTCCCGAATTTTCTCCAAGGCTCTAGCCCCTCGAGAATCATAAGTTTTCATTAAAGCATCTTTATAGGATAGCTTTAACGAATCCTTATAATTTCTTGGGTCTTCAAGGAGTTTCCCCATCTCGGCAGAGTCTTTTTTCGCGGAGTCGTATTTTTTCTCAGCGATTTTCCCTGGCGAAGACTTGTCGTGGGGTGGAGATTTTCCCCCATCATTTCATCCTTCTCGCGTCGAATCAGCTTCGTCGAAGTTGGTTCTTCCGGAATCCTGCGGCCGCTTCCGGGTCTTTTTATTTTTGCCAGCTAGATCCGCAATCACCGGCGACTCCCGTTTTTTTGTCTTCTGATTGGCCGAAGGATTTCCGCCACTGTTGCGTGCCCGATACTCTGCGCGTGCGGTTTTCATTTTGTTGCAGTCGAAGATTCGATGACCCGGCACCCCGCAAACATCACACGTGTAGTTGGTGTTTTTCGGACGTGGCCGCCCCTCGAATCTGTCGACTTCCATCGGGTCGGCGAACGTGGGGTGAGCCGAGCGGTCACCCTGTCGCGTACTGCCGACGTGCGTCTGTCGTGTCCCGGCGTTGATCATGTCGAAGCGCTCCGCTGCCGAAACGACGTCACTGTAGCTCGCGTAGTTTGACGCTGCCACTTGTCGTTTGATTTCGGTCTTCAGCCCGGCGAGGTGCGACTGTACTTTTTCCCCTTCGGTGAGGTCTGGAATTCGGTTATAAAATTCTTCCATTTGTTGCGTGTATTGCGCTACACTCCCGAGCTGTCGATGTCGATGATTTTTTTCCCGGGCAAGGAAACCCGAATTTATCGGTTCGAAGCGTTTCAGCAGGTCGGTGCGGAGCTGCTGCCACGTGGCTTCACCGTGGATGAAGGTGCTATTGCCGCCAATCCACTCGAATGCCGGCCCTCGCATCAGTGTCCCCGCGAGTCGTACACTTTGACCGTCCCAGACTGGCGAGCTCCATCCGACGGCTACGAAGTAGATCTCCATCCCGGCGATCCATCTGCGGGCGTCGGAGTTTCGATCACTCGGATCGAGCGGCTCAGGTGGGCGCGGTTTCGGAGCCTCGAGAAACTGCTGCGACTTTTGCGTCGTCGTCGTTGTCGAGTCGTGCTGCGCTCCGGCGAGTCGAGTTACTCGCTCGAACTCGTTTCACCACGCTTCGCTATCCGCTCGCATCTCCTCCTGAAGGGTGGCGATGCGCGCGAAGAGCTGTTGGGTAACCTCGGCGTTGTCGAAGGTTGCCATCCTGTTCAAAACACGCGCGGGGGGGGGGGTGATTCGAAAAAACGCGGAGCTGGTGCTTACCAGAATCAGCGTCGAATTGGTCGCCCCCGGCGGTTTTTCGAGCCAGGTTTCCCGCTGCGGCTGCTTTGTTGAGCGCGGCCGAGTGAGAAAAGCTCTGATTACCAAGTGTTACAGGATCGAATGTCTCGATGAAAGGTTGCACTATCGATCAGTACAAGGTGCTTTTATACTTCCAAAGTATATCAGGTAACCAGGTTTATCTTATCCCAAGGGAATAGGCCCTTCTAGAATATAGAATCACACTGCGTATAGCCACGCGAGGCTATTGGCTTTAAGGGATAACGGTAGGATTACGCTAGATAGAGCGCACCAGTACATCCCGAGCCTGGTCAGTGATATAATGAAAATAACAGGATAACCCAAAGGATAATGGAAAAAGAGAAATAGGAAACCAAATGAGATGAGATAAAAAGAGAAATGAAATAGGAAGGAAATAAGAAAAGGCCAAGTGGTGTAACGGGGTCGTACTCTCACACCAAGTATCCAGTGCGGTAAGAACGGCTGCTGCAGTTTGAGAAGCTGTTGGTACAGTAGTTGCCCGAAAATCAATATCCACGTGTTGATAATCTGTTTCTTCTGGGTGATCAGAGCAAGGTTAGCATAAATTTGAGGTAAGGGAATGCCCTCTGCACTTGTAGTTTCTTCAAGTCGTGTCTCGAAATCTGTTTCTGAAGCATCAACTGTTGTATCACATCCAAAGACCCCTTTTCCGGATGTTGGGAACGCAAAGACCGGAGGGCGATGTTGTGATAGTGGTGGATTCTGCGGCGGTTTTTGGCATCTGCTGCGTCGGGGACGCCGACTGCTGCGTTGGCTGATGTGTCTTCGGTAACTGCTGCCAACGGTGATACGGGTGTGAAGTGCTGCGACAATTTTGATGTCGCCTGCAACAAGTCTGGTAAGTGTGTCCTGGTTTCTTGCAGAAATGACACAAAGGATATTTCGGGGGAAGTCGTTGCTGCTGCGGTTCTGGATTTGAGTAATAAGTTAAATGCATCCCTTTTTTCTGATTGCGTTGTGACTACAGGTCAAGATCTTGCTGCTCTGCTTGAAGATACGAAGAAATCTCGGCTTCGGAGAGGTTCGGATTCATGCGCAGGAAGGCGCGCGTCTGTCGCCATTCGGGTCCAAGGCCAGCAAGAAGGACCGTGAGATACATGTCACGAGGCAAGGATCCCCCACTCTTCTCCAGTTGATCGCGTAGTGTACGGACGCGATTGACGTAATCCGTGACATTCTCGTTTGTCATCATCTGCATATTTGTCAGTTGCGAAAGAATCTTACTCACTGTTATTGTATATTTTGCCATGTACACCCCCTTTAAGTGGTTCCATGCAGTTTCAGCTGGCGTAAAGCTTGAATGAAAATATCGAATGCCGAGCTGCTCCTTTGGGGATAAGTTCCAAACAAGAACTGTATACGCCCCAAGAGAGGCGTGCAAGAACTCTGCTGCTCCAGTTGTGTTCCCGTTACAGGATATGTAAACTCGCAGGTGAAGAATTGCCATAGCCCGGCAGACTGCCCCAAAAGCTCAAATTCGAAGCTCCAGGAGTAAAAATCAACTCCGTTAAAAGGTATAGTGGTCTTGATCTGTGTGCTGTTAAGTAAATTCGGTGGTTGAAAAATTACACCCCGTTGAGGCTGTTGCTGTTGTTGAAATTGTTGTGGCTGTTGCTGTTGTTGCTGTTGCTGAAATTGCTGTGGCTGTTGCTGTTGCTGTTGTTGTTGCTGAGCAGGTGAACGTCCGAATATGTAAAAGGGTGCTGCTGCTGCTACTGAGGCTGCTGCGCAAAAGGTGAGAAGGCAAATGAGCCAGAACTTGGAGGTGAAGCTCCACGCATATAACTTGAGCCATCAAGACTCATTCCACTCAACGCTGACGATATTGACTGAGTTGAAAACTGTGGTTGTACTGTTGCCTGTTGTTTTACTGATGCCTGTTGTTGTGCTGTTGTCTGTGTTTGTTGTTGTTGCGCTGCAGGGGCAGTCGATGAAGTCCCTGGAGTATTAACAGGAGGATTTTGCTGCTGCATGCCGATGTGCGCATAAGCCGGTGGAAACGGTCCAGTGGCTGAGAGACCAGTGGCGGTCGTGGAGACAGGTACTCCAGTAGTTCCGAAAGTAGATCCAGTAGATTGAGCTGGTGTTGTTCCAGTCATTTTGGCGGTAGTCTTAACTTAATTCCAAACAGCTCTCATACCATGTAATAATTTGACAGTTGTTGCAGGAAACTATGTGTAGAGTTTGCAAACACAAACACTTGGAAAACCTCAGTGTTAGCCTAGGATCTTTACTGGAATGATAGACTAGTAAGACAACGGAAGTCTTGTAAAAGTGAATCTGAGTATAACTCTTGTGAAAGTCAAGGTTGAACAACCTGAGCTCATGAACTTGTGGGGTAATCAAAGTTAATATGAAAAAAGCATAACAATGTTTTTTAGTTCTAGGAAAGTACCTGTTCGCTAATGTACCTGTTCGTCACTATCGTGCCATGCGCCCTAAATGATAATGATGAGATGCGACTGTTCGAGTGACTGAAACGACTGTCCTCATGACGAGCGCTATTTGCTGACGTCATCCTATAGACTCTTCTACAGTAGGATTCGACACTATCTATAATCGACTTACATAAATGCTAAGTACGAATTATATCACAACAATAAGCTGGTGCATCCCTCTCTCCAACACCATAGCATGTTCCTTCGTTTTTTATTAATTCCTTCCCAACAGCATCATTGGCTCACATGCCCCTTGCGGCCAGTGCAACACCACACGCCCATCGTGGTATCCGCCTAACCCAGAATGGGGAACCGCAGCACCATCTCGCGCTCATGCACCCACCGCTCCATGGTAGCATGCTATCACTGCTGCATGTGAGTATCCTGTCATTGGCTGGCAACGGCATGTCCCTTTCCACACCACACGCTCATCCTGGTATCCGCCTCACCCAGAATGGATTTCTTCACCATGCGAAACCGCAGCACCATCTCACGCTCATGCACCCACCGCATCACTTCAATTGAACACAGCGACCCATCCTTCACCGCTGCAGGAGGAAACCCCACCTGCTCCACTCCCTGCGCCTCCTGCCCCTCCCCTCGCCCCTCCCCTTGTCCCTCTCCCTGCCCTTGTCCCTCGCTGCTCCTTACCCCGTTGCTCTCAGCAATGATCTCAGCAGCGCTCCTGTACCGCCCGCCTCGACACGCCACTAGCCCCCTGAGCCTGTCCTCATCCTCATAGTAGTCCGTTGAGAAAGACCCCGCTGCCTTCTTTTCGTCCTCACTGAGACCCACACCGACCATTCGTCTCACCCGCTGCTGCAGGATGCACGCTGCTGCTGACAGGGCTGCTGAGATGTCCGCTGATGTGGACAGGGCTAGCGCCTGCCACGTGGCAGCTGCCTCCGCTGTCAGGTCATCCGGCGCTGCTACGTCATCAGCTGAAGTTGTTTCAGCATCCGCTGCCTCTCCCTCAGCAATGTCTGATTCTGCCTCTGCTCCCTCTGTCTCCCCAGCATCAGAACCAGCATCACCAGCGTCAGCATCATCATCATCATCATCATCAGCAGCAGCAGCAGCAGCAACGGGAGTGCCTATATCCAAGATGGGCTCACTCAGTTGCATGGCCGCCTTTGCTAACCGCTCTGGATCCAACTCTGGCGAGGGATAGAGAGCACAAGAGGGATAGAGAGCACAAGAGGGATAGCGAGCACAAGAGGGATAGAGAGCACAAGAGGGATAGAGAGCACAAGAGGGATCAGAGGGGGGGCCAGAGGAGGGAACAGAGTGGAGGGGGGTTGATAGAAGGGGAGAGAGGCATGGAGCGAGGGGAGGAGCAAAGCACGACAGCCAGAGGCATTCTTGGAGGCCAACCGAGAGATTGATTGCAACTCTCTCTCTCTCTCACTCCTCCCTGTCTCACCTTTCCCTGTGGTCTCCCAGTGCCACACCGCAGCCGCCATGGCCAGCATCTCAGGGCCGCCATGCCCGCCCGCCCACACCACACCACACCACCATCAGGCCCTCATCAATCTCACCATGGCCTTTACCTCGCCCTGTGCTTTCCAACTGCCACACCGCAGCCGCCATGGCCAGCATCTCAGGGTTGCCATGCCCGCCCGCCCACACCACCAGCTGCTGCTTGGCGCGCTCAACCCACCTCACTCTGCACTCCTCACGGGGGGAAGTGAAGGAACAAGTGCAACCAAATGCCTTTCCGTCTCTCACCTTTCCCTGTAGCCTTCCCCTGCAGCCTGCCCCTGCCACACCGCAGCCGCCATGGCCAGCATCTCAGGGCCGCCATGCCCTCTCGCCATACCAGCGCATCACACCATACCCGCCAAACCAACCCCTCCTCCCTGTCTCACCTCGCCCAGTGACCTCCCACTGCCACACCGCAGCCGCCATGGCCAGCATCTCAGGGCTGCCATGCCCTCCTGCCCACACCACCAGCTGCTGCTTCGCGCTCTCGTCCTCCTCATTCGCCATGTCCTCCCACCACCCCCCTCCCGTGCCATCCCCTCCCGTGCCATCCCCTCCCGTGCCATCCCCTCCCGTGCCATCCCCTCCTGTACCATACTCCTCTCCTCCCTCTCTCTTCAACTCCACACTCCCCTCACTCGCCACCTCTTCCATCACCACTCTCCCCTGCACCTCTTCCGCCCCCCCTTCCTGCCCATCCCCCAGCTCTCCCCCCTGATCCTCCAGCTGAGCCCCCGCCTGCGCCTCCCCCTCCCCTTCCCCCTGCTCCCCAGCCGCAAGTGCTGCCTCAATGCTCGTCCCCCCATACCCGTCCAACTTCCTTTCCTCTCTCAACCTCACAACCACATCTCTCACCCGTGCTGCAACCCTCAGTGCACCACTCCCCTCCCCGCCTGCCCGCCCCTGGTGGTACCCCCCTGATGGAGATGCCTGCTGTTTCTCCTCCTGTGCATCCCTCCTCCCTTCTCTCTCCCCTCCTCCTTCTCTCTTCCCCTCTCCTGCTACTACCTCTGCTGCGATAACAGAGGGGGGAGCAGCAGCAGGGCGTGGCGGTGAGGGAATGGTCTGTTGCACTGCCAAGGCCACCAGCTGGGCGGGGCTGGGGAAGAGAGGAAGCGCAGGGAGAAGCCGCGTGGTACATGGATTGGGATTGACATGGGAGCAGGGTTATGAGGTGCTCAAAAGAAGGGCAGGAGCAGCAGCAGGGCGTGTTGGTGAAGGGATGGTCTGTTGCACTGCGAAGGCCCCTGGCTGAGCGGGGCTGGGGAAGAGAGGAAGAGCAGGGAGAAGCAGCGTGGTACATGGATTGGGATTGACATGGGAGCAGGGTTATGAGGTGCTCAAAAGAAGGGCAGGAGCAGCAGCAGGGCGTGTTGGTGAAGGGATGGTCTGTTGCACTGCAAAGGCCCCTGGCTGAGCGGGGCTGGGGAAGAGAGAAGAGTCAGAGCGGCACAGGGATTGGGGTTGGGATAGAAACAGGGTCATAAGGTGTTCAAGTTGAGGGCACGACAGGGATTGGGGCAGGAAAGCATAGTGGCCCAGGGAAGCATAGTGGCCCGGGAAAGCATAGAGGCCTTGGGGGAGCATAGGAGTAGGTGTAGGCTTTGGGTGGAGGTCGAGGTGTAGGTGTAGGTGTAGGTGTAGATGTAGGTGTACGTGTACGTGTAGGTGTACGTGTAGGTGCAGGTGTACGTGAAGGTGTAGGTGTAGGTGCAGGTGTACGTGTAGGTGTACGTGTAGGTGCAGGTGTACGTGTGGGTGCAGGTGTACGTGTGGGTGCAGGTGTAGGTGTAGGTGTAGGTGTAGGTGTAGGTGTAGGTGTAGGTGAGGTGTAGGTGTAGGTGTAGGTGCAGATGTAGGGTGGAGGTGTATGGCAGAGGCTTTGGCATATGACATGGGCTTGGGTGCTGGGCTCTGGGGTGCTGGGCTCTTGGGTGCTGGGCTCTTGGGTGCTGGGCTCTGGAGTGCTGGGCTCTTGCATGCTGGGCCCTTGGGTGTTGGGCCCTTGGGTGCTGGGCTCTTGGGTGCTGGGCTCTTGGGTGCTGGGCTCTAAGGTGCTGGGCTCTCGGGTGCTGGGCTCTGGGGTGCTGGGGTGCTGGGCTCTTGGGTGCTGGGCTCTTGGGTGCTGGGCCCTTGGGTGCTGGGCTCTTGGGTGCTTGGCTATTGGGTGCTTGGCCCTTGGGTGCTGGACTCTTGGGTGCTGGGCTCTTGGGTGCTGGGCTCTTGGGTGCTGGGCTCTTGGGTGCTGGGCTCTTGGGTGCTGGGCTCTTGGGTTCTGGGCTCTTGGGTGGTGATTCTAGCATCGTAGAGAGGCAGAGACTGACCTGGGAAAAAGAATCACATCGATGCTGGGCTTGGGCTTGGGCGCTGGGCTTGGGCGCTGGACTTGGGCTTGGGCTTGGGCTTGGAGCAAGGCATGAACAACCACCTTGGGTTTTCAGAACAGTGTCGTAGGGGTTGTAGGAGGGCACGAAGCCATACTCCAGCACCACATGGCTGGTTGGGTTGGGTGGTGGGCCCTTGGTGGGTGGTAAGTTCTAGCAACATAGAGAGGCCGATACCCGCCTTGAAAACTTTCAGAACAGTGTCATAGGGGTTGTAGGTCGGCACGAAGCTGTACTCCAGCACCACATCGATGGTGGGTTTGGGTGGTGGGCTTGGGCATGTAAAAGGGCATGAATACCCACCTTGGGAACATCATAACACTGTCATAGGGGTTGTAGGACGGCACGAAGCCATACTCCAGGACCACATCGATTGTCGGCTTGGCGCCGTACGATATGCTCAGGGGCTCGCCCCGCTCGATGGCCTGATAGGTTGTGAAGACGAACCAGTCGCCAGAGAGCTGTGGGAGAGGGAGGGGGAAGTGCGCATTGGAGGGGCAAGTGTGTGTGTTGGAGGGAAAGGGGGGAGGGATGGGGAGGGTGTGCGTGTTGTGCCGTACGATATGCTCATCGGCTCACCCCGCTTGATGGCCGGGTAGGCGGTGACGACGAACCAGTCGCCAGAGAGCTGTGGGGCAGGAAGCAGGAGGGAGGGTGGGCGGTGGAGGGCGAGTTGCCGTGCGATTGAGGTCGTGGTAGGTTGTGAAGACGAACCGGTCGCCAGAAAGCTGCAGAGGAGGGAAGCAGGAGGGAGGGTGTGAGTGGTGTGTTGCTGTGCGATTGAAGTTGTGGAAGGTTGTGAAGACGAATCGGCCACCAGACAGCTGCAGAGGGGAAGGGGAGATGGAGCGGGGGGGAAGTCACATCAAAAGTCAACCTCAAAAGTCACTGCAAAAGTCACCTCAAAAGTCAACGCAAAAGTCACCTCAAAAGTCAACGCAAAAGTCACCTCAAAAGTCACATCAAAAATCACCACAAAAGTCACCTCTAAAGCCACCTCGAAAGTCACCTCAAAAATCACCTTAAAATTCACCTCGTCAGTCACCTCAAAAGTCACCTAGCCTGCAGATTTCTATGTCCTCCATGCCCAATCTGACAATACCTAACCTCCCATCTCATCCCATACCTCCCATTTGGGTCCAGAACTCCCATTTCATCCCATACCTCCCATTTCATCCCATACCTCCCATTTCATCCCATACCTCCCATTTCATCCCATACCTCCCATTTCATCCCTTACCTCCCACCCCAGGTTGGGGTAACTATCATGGTTAAACAGGTCAGCGAACGGAAGCATGGCTGCTGACGTGGCAAACCACTCCTCCCCTCTGCTGCTGCGGCTGCTGCTGCTGTCAACTCGACCAGTCTCGGCTTCCCCTCCTGCAACAGCTTCCTCTTTTGCAACTGCTGCTGTTGCTGCTGCTCCATCTAATCCCCCCTCGGTTCCACTCTCCCGCTGCTCTGCCCCACCAGCAGAGTCTCCACTGGAAACCCCACTCTCGCTGTCAGGCATGGCGGGGGAGTAGGTGAAGCAACGCGATGTGACTATAGCGAGCGCCCAATAGAACTCGGAGCGCGACGCGTTCGCGATGGCAGCAGGGCTGCAGCGATCGTACAGGTCGGTGTATGCCTGCTTGAGGCGAGTGGCCTGGGCAGAGGAGGGAGAGAGGGGAGAGGGGGAAGAGGTGGAAGAGGGGAGGAGGAGGAAGAGGGGGAGAGGGGGGAGAGGGGGAGCGGGGGGGAGCGGGGGGGGAGGGGGGAGGGGGAGGAAGGGAAAGAGGCATGGGCGATGGCAGCAGGGCTGCAGCAATCGTACAGGTCGGTGTATGCCTGCTTGAGGCGAGTGGCCTGGGCAGAGGAGGGAGAGGGGGAGAGGGGGAAGGGAAAGAGGCATGGGCGATGGGCAGCAGGGCTGCAGCGAGTGTAGAGGTCAGTGTATGCCTGCCTGAGGCGACTGGCCTGAGTGGGAGGGAGAGAGGGAAGGAGAGTATGACAAGGGAGGGCGAGAAGGTAAAGCAGCACGATGTAACTATGGCGAGTGCCCAGCAGAACTCAGAGCACGAGGCAATGGCGATGGCGGGAGGTTGCAGCAATCATGAAGGTCGGTGTAGTGGGCCACCGGGCCCGCGGGCCAGCTGGCCAGCGGGCTAGAGTCGGGGAAAGGCCCGCGGATGGCTGCGGGGAAAAGCACCTGGGTGGCTGCGGGGAAAAGCACCTGGGTGGCTGCGGGGAACAGCACCTGGGTGGCTGCGGGGAACAGCACCTGGGTGGCTGCGGGGAACAGCACCTGGGTGGCTGCGGGGAACAGCCCGCAGATGGCTGCGGGGAACAGCCCGCGGATGGCTGCGGGTAAAAGCTAGCAGGGGGGGGCAGGGAAAAGCCCACATGTGGGGCGCGCTGGTGGGGGCACAGGAAATGCCCGGGGGAGGGCACGGGCTAGCGGGACAGCGGGCTAGCGAACTAGTGGGCCAGCGGGCTAGCGGGCTAGCAGGCCAGCCGTTTAGCAGGCTAGCAGCCCAGCGAGCTAGTGGGCTCGTGGGCTAGAGGGCCAGTGGGCCAGCCGGCCAGCGGGCTGATGGTGAGGGTGGGGGAAAGTGCTCACCTGGTCCGCTATGGGCCGGTACTCAAACTCCTCTATCAGCTCCAGGGGAGAGAGGGCGGCCAGGGGCACGGAGGCAGGCAGGGCGTGCAGGAAAGGCGAGCAGGAGGAGAGCGCCCCCTTGGCCCGCAAACCTCCCCACCCACACACTCGTTGAAGCTCTCACCTGGTCCACTATGGGTTGGTACTCAAACTCCTCTATGAGGCCAGATGGAAAGAGGGCGGGCAGCGGCACGTAGGCAGGCAGGGAGCGCAGGAAGCGCGACCAGGGGGAGAGCGCCCCCTTGGCCCTCTCCCGCAACAGCCATGCTGCCAGGACGGTATATGTGTCCCAGCCGTGCGGCACTGGCAGAGGCATGTCGTACGGCAGCAGGTGACGCTCTGACTCGTTCTGGGAGAGGGATGGGGAGGGATGGGGAGGGATGGGGGTGATGTGGCCAAAAGAAGAGAGGCAGGACGGTCTTTCTTTCTTCCCCCGGCAGCCACGCTGCCAGGACAGTGTATCTGTCCCACCTGTAGGGCACTGGCAGGGGCATGTCGTACGTCAGCAGGTGGCACTCTGCATCGTTCTTGGGGGGGGGGGGAAGGGGAGAAACGGGGTTGAGAGGGGGAAGGAAGTGAGGCAAGAAGCTGGTGGCAGGGCGTTCATGCACACACCCCCACACCACCCCCCCGCAGACAGAGTGACACGTACGTGCAGTCACGCCCACACACAGTCACACCCACACAGTCACACCCACGTGCATTCTTCCCTGCACTTCCCTGCATTTCAATGCACTTCCTTGCAATGAGCATGCAACCAACCCCCCTGCGCATGCAACCAGCCCACACACAGTCACAACCACACGCAGTCACACCCCCACATACAACCACACCCACCAGCGCAATCCAGTTGGCCACGATGTGGAACCTTCGTGGAACCTTCAGCAGCACCTCGCCCTCTGCTAATCTGCGAGCTGCCTTGAAACCGATATCCGCCCTGCAGTGAGGGACAGCGGAATTAGCGGGAGGACAACAAGGGGGAAGGCGCAGGGGTGAGCTGCCTTGAAACCGATGTCCGCCCTGCAGTGAGTGGCAGTGCAGGGGGGGCGGAGACAGCAAGGGGGGAACACGGGGGGTTTGAGCCGCCTGGAAACCGATGTCTGCACTGTTTGGATGACGGGGATAGCAGGGGGGGGGGGAGAGGGGGGAAATGGGGAGTGAGCAGGTGCGCGGGGGGGAGAGCAAGGAGCATAAAATCACTGCTGGTTGCATCTGAGTGTCTGCGAGTTGCGAGTTTGCGCAATGGGCTCCACGGCAGGAAAGACGGGGGAACAGGGTGGGGAGCAAGGGGGAGTGTGGGGGAAAGTTGCATGAGAACACGAGGGTGGGTCGAACCAAGGAAGGGGAGCCTACCGGGTGTCGTTTGGCTTCCACGCGCCTGCGCCACCCTCGGGACTGCCTGAAGAGCCATGGCCCGTGACGTCACGCGTGACGTCATCCGTGGTGGCTTCGTGCACACTGCGAGTGGAGAAGTCCACCTGCGACGAGGCGACAGGATGAGAGTGACACGTGTCAATCTGAGACGCGGAGAGACAGTCACCAGCCAGAAAACCCGCTGCATTCTGACTGACGTGGACCAGGGAAGCGTTGACGAACACCCGCTGCATTCTGACGAAACTGGCATCGATCAGGGAAGCACTGACACGTGCAACTGGCATTGATCAGGGAACAATTGACACGCGAAACTGGCGTTGATCAGGGAACCACTGACACGTGTAACTGGCGTTGATCAGGGAACCACTGACACGTGTAACTGGCGTTGATCAGGGAACCACTGACACGTGTAACTGGCGTTGATCAGGGAACCACTGACACGTGTAACTGGCGTTGATCAGGGAAGCATTGACACGCGTAACTGGCTTCGCTAAGAGGTGTATATCCGTCGCACTAACCTCGATACTACCGCCAACGATAATGCCATACTCAGATCCCTCCGAATCCCGCGTCCAATCCAGTCCCATCCACGTCAGCATGTCCTCCACCATGGCACGCTCCGACCCTGCCACGTCATGCTCGACGCTCCCGATCTTTCTATACCCTCTACCGTCCGCGGATTCACCGGAATAAGCATCAGTTCCATTTTCAGAAGTCTCTAGATTGGAATAGGCCTCGGATCCTTCGGCTGGCGCCTCAGCACTAGCAGCGCAAGTACGGGAACCAGAGCCGCTGCTTTCGGTTCTAATTTCAGCGCATTCGCCGGTGTTTTGCGCTAAAGATGCGGTAACGAGCAGCGACAACGACAGGACGAGGAGGAATGTGTCGAAACGGTGACGGTAATGCGAAACCGAGAAGGCGGGACTACCATCAGTGCGATGGTCGCTAGATTGAGCCAACAGGCGGGTACTCGATAGCATGGCCATGCTTGCCTCGCATCCCGCCTGGTAATAACTAGCAATGAGGCCTGAGGCTGCACGGGAGAGCCGTCAGATATAAAGACGTAGGAGCAAATTCTCTGTCCGTAGCAGATCCTCTGGGCTGAATGATCTGCTGACGAACTTTGTCGGTGGGATTCCCGCCAAAAGTGAGAGGCGAAATGTGACTCGAGAATAATGAATAGCCCCTGCCAGAGGAACACTTTTCCATCCTGATTAGTGTAAAAAAAGCATGTCCATGTGACTTCTTTGTATAAGTTTTCCATCTTGATGCTTGGTCACATCATGATACATAATAATTTATTGTACTTGTACTTCCATTATACTGCCAAGCAAATCAATGTTACCTACCCTACGAAACTGCCTCCTCCCTACAACCATGTGGGCCATACAATAAAGATCGCACCCGGTACGGCAAATAAATAGAGACGCATCAAGGCAGCTGCTGCTATTCCAGCTTGTTAGGAAGTCATAAATCCCTGTCATGAGACATGAGTTTACTCTTCAGGTGCAATGGAGAGTTGAGACATTCACCCCCATGTCACGGAACCCCTGATACTGACACCAATGGTGACAATACTGACCACAGCAGCAGTTTTCTGCAACCCATCTGCTTCAGACGGACGGAGTGCCCGAGAAAGGCACGGTCCCTTTCTGTCAGCAGCACACCACTCAACCAGATTAGCCACCAGGGTTTAGGGTGGGTAACACTGATCACCACTTCAAACCGAATCTCAAACCTTGGCAGGATAAACCAAAGTACCTGCCCCATACCTTTAGAACCTTCTGCTTCTGTTCCCGATGAAACCCACTAGACCAACGAATTCCCATCTCTGCTCCTCCCCTCCCTTCCGTCCCCCCCTTCTCTCTCCATTCCTCCACCTGCATCCCCATCCTCTTGCCCCCTCACATTCGTTACAAGAACACTCGTTTCAGCTGCACCCCTCCTCTCCCCCCCTCCATTCTGGACCCCGCCTGACCTCCTTTCCCTGTCTCCACCCTCCTCGGTACTCCCTTGCACTACACTCGTTACAAGAACACCCGTTACAGCAGCACCCGTCACAGCAACACCCGTTACAGCTCCATCAAGACATCCTGTCTCCGTCGTTTCTTTCCATTTTTCCAACCCCTCCTGCTTCCCGCACCCACGGCACCTCCCCTCTGCCCCTCCCCCTCTTCTCAACGCCTCCTTTTCCTTCCGTCTCTCCCCCTTCCCTTCCCTCTCGGTCTCCCCTCGCCTCTCCATGCGTCTATCTAGCTGCCTGTGCCTGTGCCTATGTCTCCGCCTGTCCCCCTTCCCCTCCTCTCCATTACCCCCCCCCTGCTCCACCTCTATCCGCCCGCCGCTGCCCCTTCCCCTCCCCTCATCCCCTCCGTGCCCGCCCGACCTGTCCCCCTCCCCCGCCCTCCCCTGCTTTGGGAAGGGGAGCGGGAGGAGCGGGAGTCTAATGAGGAGGAGGAGGAGGAAGAAGCGGAAGCGCCTAGTGATGATAACGAGGAGGCTGAAGACGAGGACGAAGGGGAGCGGGAGGAGCGCAGGGGGGCGGAGGGGGAGGAACTGGAGCGGGGATCGGGGGAACCCGGGGAATTCCGAGAGTCCCTGCGCCCGCTGCGCGCATGCCTTGCGGTAGACGCGGCGATTTCCGCGGCTATGGACGCGGCGGCGGTTGCGGCGGCGGCTGCGGCGGCGGCGGTCCGCATTGCAGATTCAGGGGCGAAGTAGAACGCGGCTCCGACAAACGCGAGCACGCACACGGACGCTAGTACCGCGGCCACTGCTAACGCGAACAGAGTGAGGGTGTCGGACGATGCGCTGGCTGACGTGGCAGTTTCGTTGGCGGGGACCGGCTGGGAGGAGGAATACGTGGTCGACGTGATAGATGACGATGACGTGGCAGAAATACCTGTCGCGCTACCAGGAATTGCGGAGGCGCGGCTTCCTGAAGGAGGCGCGGAAGATCCGGCAGTGGGGGGAGCGGGAGAGCCAATACTAGGCGGAGCGCAAGGCGCGGGAGAGGAGAAGAGCAGCGTGAACGTAGAAGCATCGATAGGCTGTAGTGTCTCGCAACTAATAGATCTTATTCCCATCTGCTGCGGCGCGGAAAACGGCGCTCCGATCGCTCCTCCCGCCACCCTAATTGTGTCGATCCCTCCTCGTAGCCTGGCTCCCGCGGGACCCGCCGCATGTTCCGGCGCTGAGTCAGCCTCCGCGCTGGTGACTCCACGCGATTCGAGAGCCACTTTGCTGGATGGCTTCGCGGCGGATTCTCCCGCCGATCCGGAATTTGGGGAAGCAACTGAGGATGATCCGTTGGATGAGCATTGCGGAGTGGATCGGACGGTGGAGATCAAATCACTCCAGTTACGCATGGCGACAGCGAAAGACGGTTCTAGCGGCGAGCAGTTGACGGACGACCAGAAGACTAACGACTGGCAGATGTAAGTCCGCACGCCGCTCGATTGCCCAGACTGCGTTCCGTCTAGTCTGCTTGAAGCAGATGTGCTTTTAGCGGGGGTGCTCATAACGCCAACACTCGTCTCCGTCGCGTTGCTTGCGGCTCCAGCAGCAGCGAGCGCGGCGGAAACGATCGACTCGCCCAGCCAATCAATCTTGAACGACCGAGTCGCCCTGAATTGCGGGATACGGAGGCAGCTCGCGGCACGGCTGCTCGGCGAAACCACGGTCACGGGCGCGGGGCAGGAAAAACGTTCGTCCGGGCAGCCCGAGACTACGGTGAGCATCGAAATCTGTCCGCTTTGGCCCGATCTCGACGGCACCGACGGCGCCGGCTGCGCAGAATTGAGCGATCCGGGCGATCCTGTGACTGGATGGAGCGTCGCGTCTATTATAACCGGCGTTCCGGCAGTTGCGGCGGCAGTCGCGGCGGTTGATGCGAGTGGAAGCGCGAGGAGGAGACATAGCAGCGGGAAGCACGGCGAAGCAGGGAGGCATCTGTAACCGCATGGTGTAACTCGGCGACGAAGTGGTGACAGTCGCCGGTGATTGCTCCCCATGATGCGAGATGCTGTTTATCAGATTCGCGACGACTCGGTTACGATCAGTCTATCAGAATCGTATGCGACGACACTATTCCGTAGTCCGTCTCGAAGCGACGGAACAATTCGTCACAGAACCTCTGCGACTTTCTACTAACACCCAATGCTTAGTAGGTATTCGCTGCTAGCCACTTTTCAGTCCACCAAATCTGCTCTCAGCAACTACCGCGCGACTGAGCCTGTTCCCTCTCTTTATCGCTCTCACTGCAGCGTCGTGCGTCGTCCACCTACTCGCTGCTGCTACAACTCGTCGCTCGACGCGTCCTCGTATGGAGCTATCGTGACGTCCTGCACATCTGCGCCGGCCATGGCGGACAAGAGTAGATTGACGGCGAGCGACAGGGACGCTCTTACAGCACTATGAGCTCCGCTCTGCTCGGCTCGGCTCGGCTGGGCTCGGCGCTGATGAACATACGATCAACTGCACCACGGGCACTCCATGCGATGATAACGAACACCGTGGGCTAGGAGCGGAAGGGAACCATGGCGATGTTCACTGTACTCTTCTGTAGTTTCTCCTCGGCAATCGCAAGCATGTGGCCGAGGATTTGTCTCGGGAGCTGCTTTGAGTGACAAATGAATGTTGAGCAAGAAAGCGGGAGGTCGTGCTGCAGCGCCATACAACTGTACGAGCTCTGCGACCCGCTGTAGCACTTCGTCGCTCAAATCGGCGCTAGTAGGGATAAGGAGCGCGTGGCCGCAGCTGACCGTCCCTCAGCGACGACTCTGATAGGCGCTTCCCCGGTGTGGGATGGCTATGGCGGTAGCTATGGCGGAAGGGGAAGCTCAACTCAGGTGAATCATGCGATGGAGAGTTAGAGGTAGGAGTCAGACCAGGCGACGGATTTCGAACAAGGACAACAGCATAAGCGACACATTCATTGAGGCATGCGATGGGAGATTGAAGCCGAGCGACGCGTTCATAGGAATGAGGCGACCAGACAGGGGCAAACAAAGTGGGTTTGCGACGGGAGGCGAAGAGGCGTTGACTCGTTGTTTGGCCGTAGGCAGGGCTGCGATGACTGACGAAGATGGCGGCGACGATTACACACCAGTTGCGAAGGTTAGGCAAGTAGGCCTCTGGTTCGGATTGGAGCCGCGGTTCGTCATCAGGGGAGGACGACTCGGGTCTCGCGATGTGATTGGTGTAACCAGGGGCTGTGATCAGGACGACGCGCGAAGTTGGGGCAGGTGAAATAGGACGGCGTGCTTGTGCGCCACGAGATCTGGTCTGCCATGAGCAGTGAGGTGGAGGCACGTGACGAGGTTGAACGAAAAGGGATACCATCACAGTGTGACAAGTGCTACGAGTTGTATAATGAGAAATGACACGACGCTAAGGCATGTAAGGTTCCTCATATAAGAATGTAATGTAAGAATGTGTGTGTTATGTAGTAATCACGAATGACGATAAACAAAAACTCTAAAGGGGGTGGGGACCGCATGGAACGTTGACGTGGTTGATATGGTGTGGTCATTGTGGATCATGGCTCATGCTGATGTGTCACACTGGAAAAGCGAGAAGATCAGTGATGTATCTGCCCGTCGCACACTCGAAACTGACCGAAGGCGGCTTGCCGATGAGCAAGTGCGGACATTTGGCGTGTGATATTCCGTGGGTGACGTTCTTACCATCGCCTGCTGGGGAGGGGGTGCTTCAGTGTTGCGCAAGCTTCACTGGGACGATGACGGATGTTAGGGTTTTCCACGTGGCGCACGTGGCCCGTGACCACAATTTTCAGCGCATTACGAAAGCATTACACTTTCACTCCGCCGAAAGTTTTCCTCTTGCCAGACAACATCAGCCCGACCCAGCCAATTAGCCGAGGAGGATTACCGCCACACACGACACCGCATAACCTTCCCTCGGCCGCTGATCAAATGCTTCGTCAGCTTCGCGAGCCCACACAGAGAGACATTCCTTTTTTCGCGCCCCTTCGCTCTCGTCACAAGACATGCCAAACCACCCACGCGGCAGTGACCTCAGTTTGCCGACCACCCAGGTCACACTCGCCCTCCAGATTTTCCCCTCTCGACGCAACCCATCGCACACGCAGGGCGCAAATTATGAGAGTATTCGAGCACGAGTCAGTGCGCCGTCCAGCTTCACTCACCCTCCCTTCGGTTCTCCAAGCCTAATGCGAGTAATTGCTCCTTCCGGCTCTTGGCGTTGCTGAAAGGCCCCTGCTGAAGCATTCATTGCTGGTAGTAACCATGCATGCTGTAGGTGCGGCGGGATTTCCGCCTGCTGCTGCGTGCTTGTGCGCGCCAAATCAGTTTTGGATTCGACATGCAATCATGGCTGCAGATGCTGTCCTCCTAAGTGGCGGTGGTCTCGCCGCCACCGCTCTCTCGAGATTGTCTTCGCCTTGCGCTTCACACTACGTCGCCCACCCTCCAGGCGACTGCTCGCCTGTGTCGCTCGCTGTTCGTCAAACGGTCAATTGCTGCGATTCCGCGAGCTGCTGCGATGCCACAGGCGCGTCCTCGTCGCCATGCGACCGTTGTGAGACTTCGCACGGCCAATTCTGCGAGTTTCCTGCTATGGAGCGGCTAAGACACGGCGTTTCCTCGCTGCGAGGCAAAATCGGTCAGCTCGGTTACCGTCGTTATCGCCACGTTTTCGCGAACGTCGCGAGGGATGATTCGCGACCGTCAGCCCAGCGAAGACCAGGCCGACAACGAGGAACTTGGAGTCGCGACGCCGCTTCTTTCTCCGGCTCTTGCGGCGTGACTCGCGGAGAGAGAAGCCTTAGCTACGCGGCGCGGGGCTACCAGAGCGCGGCGGCTATGGCGGTGATGGACGAGGCGCGGGAGGAGGCGGCGGAGGAGGAATGGCGGCGGACGGTGCAGGAAAAGACGGTTCTGTCGTGCACCACGTTCAACGTGCTCGCTCCGATTTACAAGAGGATGGGCGTCGAGGTGAGGCGAAACGAGGGAGAGGAGACTTAATTGGGTTTTTCTCAAGTGGAAGTGTCGATGCGGAGGGGAAGGGAGAGGGAGAGCGAGTGTCGAAAGTGGACGCTTTGGTTGATGCAATTTAGGTTGATTCTGGTGGACTTTCAGCGTTATTACTGCTAAATGATCCAGCGGTGCTGGTCTGTGCTGTGTGTGTCCGTGTTTCTCTGTGCAGAGTGAGAGGGAGAGCGAGTGCCAGCACGTGTGGCGGAAGCGCAATCAGGAGATCATTCAGACGCTGCTCGGCACCAAGTCGTCCATCCTCTGCTTGCAGGTACTAAGGGTTTTTTTTTTTTTTTTTTTTTGGTGGTTTTCATTCCCCATATTTCGCTGTATATTCCCTAAGAGTTGCTACCGGGCTCTGAGGCTTAGTTTCTTCATCCTTCTGTCCTGGTACTTCAAGTTTTCAACCCGTTCTTCTCATGCCAATCTACCTCATTCTTTGCAGGAGTGTTGGCTGGCAAATCCGGAGTGGGTGGACATGTACGACCAAGCGTTACAAGGCGCTGGTTACCAGCTCCTCAAGCTGCCTCGCACAAACGCCAGGGGTGATGGTGAGCGAACTTCACGCAACAGCTGCACCGTGATTTTTGAGAATTCTCAACAATCGTTCACAGCTCTCTGTAGCCGAGGAGTCTATTCTTGAGGCGCTCCAAAAATTAACTGTCCTATGACTTGTCACTCTCCTGCTCCTCCCTCCTCTTTCCTCCACCTTCTCCTCAACAATCAGGCTTAATGATGGCAGTGAAAGCGTCCGAGTGGGCGGTGGTAGACCACCACCCGCTGTGCTTCAACGACTGTGGCGACCGGGTGGCACAGATCGTCCGACTCCGGGCGAGGAGGGGAGGAGGGGAAGAGGGGGAGGAGGATGGAGGAGAGGAGGGGGAAGCAGAGCGAGGCGAGGAGGTGCTGGTGGCGAACACGCACCTGCTGTTTCCGCACAACGCCAGCTCGAGCATTGTGCGGCTGTGCCAGGTGTACAAGCTGCTGGAGAGGATCGATGGGTACCGGGAGGAGCACAGCGCAGGGGCGCTGCCAATCATCCTGTGCGGGTGAGTGCCTGGTCTCTGTGCTCGCGTGCTGTCAACTGCCGCATCGTGCGGCTGTGCCGGGTGTACAAGCTGCTGGAGCGGATCGATGGCTATAGAGAGGAGCACAAGGCAGGGGCGCTGCCCATCATCCTGTGCGGGTGAGTTCCCTGCCTTTGCCTCTGCAGTGCGGGTGAGTTTTCTGCCTTCACCACTCGTCTCAACTTTCATGTTGCTCTTATTCCGCCTACCTGACCTGGGCTTGCTCCTCTTGTGGCTGTGTGACAATGCAGGGACCTGAATGGCACGAAGCAGGGCAACGTGTACAAGCTGCTGAAATCGCACGGCTTCATCTCCACGTTTGACTCGGCTCACCACCACAGCGACGAGGACGAGCAGGTACTCTTCTCTTCCCCCCTCCCTCCCTCCCTCCCTCCCTCCCTCCCTCCCTCCCTCCCTCCCTCCCTCCCTCCCTCCCTCCCTCCCTCCCTCCCTCCCTCCGTTGTGTCTCACCTTTGCCTCCCGCCATAGCTTGTATGTCATATCAAAGGTCTGACAGCTGCTAGCGTCCTCCTGTGACCCTTTTTTTTTTTTTTTTTTTTTTTTTTCTGGGCTTTAAGGAGATCCCAGGACCTCCTGTGACCCGTTTGACTCGGCACACCAACACAGCGACAAGGACGAGCAGGCACTCGCACCATCGCTAATCCCCTCTGATTTCGCAGTTGACCATCCCCTTCCTCTTCAGCATCAGCAAGCGCTAGCAATCAACTGGGCCTGTGCTCACCTCTCCTCAATCTCTTTCTCTTCCCCCCTCCCCCCCCCCCTTGTCCAGTGGGTGAGCCACCGCAACCACCATGGCAATCTGTGTGGAGTCGACTACGTGTGGGTCTTGAACCCCGAGCAGCACCGACGCACGCTCGCAGTCAACTGGCGGACGACGGTCTTCGGCCTTATCAGGTCCAAGCTCGCTTCGGCCGGCATCACCAACGTGGAAGCTGCGTTTGACTTCTTTTTTAGGGGAGGGGAGGAGCTGGAGGGGGGGAAACAAGAGCAGGAAGATTTGGAGGGGCCTGCTGGTTTCACCATGGGCGATTTCCGGAGGGGTCTAGACCGACTGGGCTTGACTGGCGTTGACTCCATCGGGCTGACAAGCATTGAGGTGGAAGAGCTTATGCGGTCAGCTGACTGCCAGGGGAGAGGGCGCGTTGACTTGGAAGACTTCAAGGTAGGGCTAGGGCTATTGCTGATGTTGGGTTACTTCATGATGTAAGTTACTTTCTCTTTCACTTGTAACCTTCTTTACTTCATGATTCATGTTGACTCCCGTTGACTCCTGTTCACCCGTGTGACACTGCGTATGCACTCAAATTTCCTCACTCCCCTTTGCTCCCAACCTTACCACAGGCTCTTTTTGACCAACCCACCTGGGACGACACTGTAGCAGCTCTCAGGCAGTCTCTTGCCACGTCATGCTCTGCTGACTCACTCGCAGTACCTGCTGACTCAACCAGTGCAGGTGCTGCTGACATCCGCAGAACAAACTCTGACATCAGCATGGCCTCGTCTGACATCAGCATCGCTTCGTCTGACATCAGCAGCACTATCCCTGGTCAGCAGGGTTCAGCCCACAATCCTTCCCTCAGCTCTCAACGCCTATCCTCTCCCCTCCTACAGTGTCCCCTTTCCCCACAACCATCACCACCCTCCTCCCCCTCGTCCCTCCTCTCTCCGTTCCCATCTCCCTCACCCTCCAATTCATCTGCTGTCTCACTCCTCTCACCTTCCCCGCTCCCTCACTCCCTCCTCCACACTCACACTCACTCTCTCCCAGTCATGACTTGCTCCTTCACTCCTACCACCTCCTCCCTCACTCCTCCCACTCACTCCCACCACGCCTTCCCATCTACCGAACCTTCTGCGCGATTTCCACACCTGCATCAATTCAGCCATCTCCCGCTCTTCAGGTCCGGCATGTCCGACCCTATCACAGTTTTTTCACATGCTGTATCTGCTGCAGCGAGGGGGCAGTCCTTCCAGCAGCACCAACTGCAGCACCAGCACCACCAGAACCAGCAGCAGCAGCAGCAGCAGGAAATGGAGGCAGAGTGCAAGCGGTTACGGAAGAAAATGGGCTTATCCGGGTGTACAGCAGGCAGAGGTGACTGTACAGGATGTGGCTTTAACAAGGCTGTCGCCCTTCAAGCTGGAGGGAAGACTGAGGGGAGGACGAAGCAGACGCAGTTGGTTGACGGGAAGGCAGGAGGGAAGAGCGGTACGGAGCGACGGAAGCCAGCAACGCTGCCAGGTGCATTGAATCTGGACGTGCTGCAGGCGACGCTGTTCCCCAGCGCTATGGAGGAGGGCGTGTGGCCGGAAGACTACACCATTTCTGATCATGCTCTGCTCACCGTCCGATTTGGGCGCACGTGACCATGAACCTTCCGGGAGTATGTACTGGATGGAACGCTGTCGCATGGTTCACATGGTTCGCATGCAACACATGAATCTGGGAGGGTGGTGTGGTTTGGCCAAACGAGGGGGGTCCCAGGAGGTGGTCGACGTGGCACTAGTTGTTTGTGAAGGCTAAAAGTTTTGCGTGAGGTGCGGGACGGCATTCGTGTGGGAGTTGGGAAGTTTGAGTGAAATTTTACAAGCAGCTAGGCTTGGTTGAGCTTCTCTCCCGACAAGTTTTGCGTGTGCTAAATCAGCATTTGGGCAGCCGAAAAGTGATGGAGTGGCTGAAAAGGAAATCCCGTGAAACAATTGGGATGCAGCACGATCAATCTGGATGAAGGGAAAGGGATTCAATTCAAGTATCAGATCGTAGCAGATGACAGCCAGATCGTCATTTAGAGTCCAAGATCGTCGAAGCTTAGCCAGTTAGTACACCGTAGTTATATCGTGCAGCTGTTCGTAATTCCGCAGCTATAATCTCGCCTCAGCTCATGAGCGATGTAGCGTTTGAAGCGTGCTTCGGATCCTAACACCGTAGCGGTTTTTATTTATCGTCATTCAGATCGTTGTGCCATGGCTGCTCGTAGTGGCGCATAGTATCGACGTCGGCAGGTTGTAGGATTCAATCGTGTGTTCGCGAAACCTCGTTTTTTCGCCAGACTTCTTCCAAGGCGCGACTGCCCGACTTACCCCACCAGCTTTCTAGCAACCAGCCCAACAAACCCTAGAAACGCTACCTTTGGAGGCTCGCAGGACCCTTTGTTGAGAGGGGGAGCGGTGGTGGGTGGGAAGAGATACGTCACCAGCTCAGGTTCGCGATTCTCGCTGCTGTGCCGGTGACGCGTTCGTCGCATGTGCCGTGCGTAGGTGCGGTGCGCAGGTGACGTGCGCATGCGACGTGCGCGCATGCGACGTTCTGTTTCTCCGGGGCGCTGGTGTGTCGGTGCGCGGGTGCGCCAGCGCGCGCGGTTCCGACGGATAGCGAGGGAGCGGGTGGGGCTGGGGGGACGGGTAATGACTGAGAAGGGGAGGGGGAATGCGAGGAAGGCTGCATATGGGGAGGGAGGAAGGTTTGGCTGTGGAGTTGCCTGCGGGCATCGGAGGTACAGCAATGTGACGTGGAGCGGCAGAGCACAAATGGAGTCCAGTTTCTGTCCCTTCCCCCCCCATCCCCCCTCCTCCTCCCCCCAACCCCACTTCGGTTCTCCCCCCCTCCACCGCTCACCATCCCTCTGTACTCTCTCTCTGACAAGGGAGTCCGTGGCTTTACCTTCGCCCGCCTGCTCTGCCTCTGGTTCGTATCCCCCTCTCCCCCTCTCCTCCTCTCCCCCTCTCCTCCTCTTCCCCTCTCCCCCTCTCCTCCTCTCCCCCTCTCCACCTCTCCCCCTCTCCTCCTCTCCCCCTCTCCTCTCCCCCTTTCCCCCTCTCCCCCTCTCCCCCTCTCCCCCTCTCCCCTCTCCCCTCTCCCCCTCTCCCCTCTCCTCCTCACTCTTCCCTGCCTTCTCTCCCTCCGCCGTAAGGGAGACGAACCGCGTGCGGGACGATGCGGTGTCGCTCAAGGGGACCGTTGGAGGCATCCTGCAGCGCCTGCAGCAGGTGGGGGAGGAGGGGCGGGGAGAGGTGGGGGGGAGGGGGGAAGGGGGAGAGGGGGGAGAGGGGAGTGAGGGAGACCAACCACGTGCAGCAGGTGGGGGGAGAGGAGAGGGTGAGGGAGACCAATTGAGTGCTCGACGACGCCATGTCACTCGAGGGACTGTTGGAGGCATTTTACAACGACCGCAGCAGGTGGGGGGAGGAGGAAGGGGGGGGGGGGGTGGGGGGGTGGGTATGGGGGCGGCTGCAGGGAGAGGGGGGATAGCGGGGTAGGCAGGGGAAGGAGCAGGGAGTAGAGGAGAGGCAGGCGGGAACAGGGGATATCACGGGGGGGGGGGGGGGGGGGTTGGTGAGGGGGAGGGAGTAGCATATCTATCGGCCCAACAGATGTTCTCCCCAGTGCATGTGCATGCACATTGTGCATGTGCGTGTGCATGTGCATGTGCATGTGCGTGTGCATGTGCCTGTGCCTGTGCCTGTGCCTGTGCATGTGCCTGTGCCTGTGCATGTGCATGTGCCTGTGCATGTGCATGTGCATGTGCGTGTGCGTGTGCATGTGCGTGTGCGTGTGCATGTGCATGTGCATGTGCATGTGCATGTGCATGTGCCTGTGCATGTGCCTGTGCCTGTGCATGTGCCTGTGCATGTGCTTGTGCATGTGCATGTGCATGTGCGTGTGCGTGTGCATGTGCATGTGCATGTGCCTGTGCATGTGCATGTGCATGTGCGTGTGCGTGTGCATGTGCATGTGCGTGTGCGTGTGCATGTGCATGTGCCTGTGCGTTCGCATGTGCATGTGCCTGTGCTTGTGCCTGTGCATGTGCATGTGCATGTGCGTGTGCATGTGCGTGTGCGTGTGCATGTGCCTGTGCCTGTGCCTGTGCATGTGCCTGTGCATGTGCATGTGCATGTGCCTGTGCATGTGCATGTGCATGTGCATGTGCATGTGCATGTGCGTGTGCATGTGCCTGTGCCTGTGCATGTGCATGTGCATGTGCATGTGCATGTGCATGTTCAGTGCATGTGCCTGTGCATGTGCGTGTGCATGTGCCTGTGCCTGTGCCTGTGCCTGTGCATGTGCCTGTGCATGTGCATGTGCATGTGCCTGTGCATGTGCATGTGCATGTGCATGTGCATGTGCGTGTGCATGTGCCTGTGCCTGTGCATGTGGGTGTGCATGTGCGTGTGCATGTGCGTATGCGTGTGCATGTGCATGTGCCTGTGCGTTTGCATGTGCATGTGCATGTGCCTATGCCTGTGCCTGTGCATGTGCCTGTGCATGTGGATGTGCATGTGCATGTGCATGTGCATGTGCCTGTGCATGTGCATGTGCCTGTGCATGTGCCTGTGCATGTGCATGTGCCTGTGCATGTGCATGTGCGTGTGCATGTGCATGTGCGTGTGCGTGTGCATGTGCATGTGCATGTGCATGTGCCTGTGCATGTGCCTGTGCCTGTGCATGTGCCTGTGCATGTGCTTGTGCATGTGCATGTGCATGTGCGTGTGCATGTGCATGTGCATGTGCCTGTGCCTGTGCATGTGCATGTGCATGTGCGTGTGCGTGTGCATGTGCGTGTGCATGTGCATGTGCCTGTGCGTTCGCATGTGCATGTGCCTGTGCTTGTGCCTGTGCATGTGCATGTGCATGTGCGTGTGCATGTGCGTGTGCGTGTGCATGTGCCTGTGCCTGTGCCTGTGCATGTGCCTGTGCATGTGCATGTGCATGTGCCTGTGCATGTGCATGTGCATGTGCATGTGCATGTGCATGTGCATGTGCGTGTGCATGTGCCTGTGCCTGTGCATGTGCATGTGCATGTGCATGTGCATGTGCCTGTGCATGTGCGTGTGCATGTGCATGTGCCTGTGCGTTTGCATGTGCATGTGCATGTGCCTGTGCCTGTGCCTGTGCATGTGCCTGTGCATGTGGATGTGCATGTGCATGTGCATGTGCATGTGCATGTGCATGTGCCTGTGCATGTGCATGTGCATGTGCATGTGCCTGTGCATGTGCATGTGCGTGTGCATGTGCCTGTGCCTGTGCATGTGCATGTGCATGTGCATGTGCGTGTGCATGTGCCTGTGCGTGTGCATGTTCCTGTTCGTTTGCATGTGCATGTGCCTGTGCATGTGCCTGTGCTTGTGCCTGTGCATGTGCCTGTGCCATGTGCCTGTGCCTGTGCATGTGCATGTGCGTGTGCATGTGCATGTGCGTGTGCGTGTGCATGTGCATGTGCATGTGCATGTGCATGTGCATGTGCCTGTGCATGTGCCTGTGCCTGTGCATGTGCCTGTGCATGTGCTTGTGCATGTGCATGTGCATGTGCATGTGCGTGTGCATGTGCATGTGCATGTGCCTGTGCCTGTGCATGTGCATGTGCATGTGCGTGTGCGTGTGCATGTGCATGTGCGTGTGCGTGTGCATGTGCATGTGCCTGTGCGTTCGCATGTGCATGTGCCTGTGCTTGTGCCTGTGCATGTGCATGTGCATGTGCATGTTCAGTGCATGTGCCTGTGCATGTGCGTGTGCATGTGCCTGTGCCTGTGCCTGTGCCTGTGCATGTGCCTGTGCATGTGCATGTGCATGTGCCTGTGCATGTGCATGTGCATGTGCATGTGCGTGTGCATGTGCCTGTGCCTGTGCATGTGGGTGTGCATGTGCGTGTGCATGTGCGTATGCGTGTGCATGTGCATGTGCCTGTGCGTTTGCATGTGCATGTGCATGTGCCTGTGCCTGTGCCTGTGCATGTGCCTGTGCATGTGGATGTGCATGTGCATGTGCATGTGCATGTGCCTGTGCATGTGCATGTGCCTGTGCATGTGCCTGTGCATGTGCATGTGCCTGTGCATGTGCATGTGCGTGTGCATGTGCATGTGCGTGTGCGTGTGCATGTGCATGTGCATGTGCATGTGCATGTGCCTGTGCATGTGCCTGTGCCTGTGCATGTGCCTGTGCATGTGCTTGTGCATGTGCATGTGCATGTGCGTGTGCATGTGCATGTGCATGTGCATGTGCCTGTGCCTGTGCATGTGCATGTGCATGTGCGTGTGCATGTGCATGTGCATGTGCGTGTGCGTGTGCATGTGCATGTGCCTGTGCGTTCGCATGTGCATGTGCCTGTGCTTGTGCCTGTGCATGTGCATGTGCATGTGCGTGTGCATGTGCGTGTGCGTGTGCATGTGCCTGTGCCTGTGCCTGTGCATGTGCCTGTGCATGTGCATGTGCATGTGCCTGTGCATGTGCATGTGCATGTGCATGTGCATGTGCATGTGCGTGTGCATGTGCCTGTGCCTGTGCATGTGCATGTGCATGTGCATGTGCATGTGCATGTGCCTGTGCATGTGCGTGTGCATGTGCATGTGCCTGTGCGTTTGCATGTGCATGTGCATGTGCCTGTGCCTGTGCCTGTGCATGTGCCTGTGCATGTGGATGTGCATGTGCATGTGCATGTGCATGTGCATGTGCATGTGCCTGTGCATGTGCCTGTGCATGTGCATGTGCATGTGCATGTGCATGTGCGTGTGCATGTTCCCTACGTGACCGCAAACGCGTTTAGCGTTTTAAACGAAGCGTTTAAACGCTAGCGTTTAAACGCTAAACGCGCCTTCTTGGGTTTCTAAACGCTAGGATAAACGCTCGTTCGGGCAGCCATAAAATTTCCCCCGGGCAGGGGAAAAAAACCTGGGATCGGTGGGGGGAGGAAAGGGGATTATGGTATACAACATATTTACTCCAATATCGTGATTAGTCTGGCTCGTAAATATTAGATGCTGCAGACGCTGTAGGATTAGCGTCTGCAGCATTAGGGGGGGTCGACATGGGCGTGGGCCCTTATCTTAGCGCGGAATTAGGTGGCCAGGGTGGGAGGTGAGAGAATAGGGACTGGATCTGAGCTACGGCTATGGCGCGCGGAACTCTAGGGTTCCCATTTTTTACGGGGAAGAGATTGTGACGGAAGGAGGGGAGAAAGTGGTTAGGTTGGAGTGAAAGTCGTTGATGAACAGGGTGCTGTGCGGTTGAGAGGGGCAAAAGGGTTGGATGCCTTTTTTGGTCGTTAGGTTGGGATTTGCGACTTGGCAAATGTCTGGTTGAACTCGCCAAGTCGCAATGTCACGGA